ATTATAATAAGCACATCAACTAATTGCTGATATCCAGATGGAATATTTGTGAGGTATGGCTAAATATAACACAGGTTTCGTTTCTCGCCACCTGGCTTTGATCGGCTGCCGAGTTTCCATCTTTACCTGTTTGGCAATCCAAAACATTTTTTCCCAGAAAGGAGGGAGTTTGTTTCTGCTCTTCTGTTCTTCACATGGTATTTTTGCAGGACGATCCAAGGACAAAGGAAAGGACAGGCTCTAACTGCAGTATCTTCCGTGTTGATAAAGACATTTTTGTTTTGATTCAGAAATGAGGCAAGCGATAAGAACTCCTTGGCCGTTGTGGGCAGGCCTGTTTCTTGGAAGCAGAATTTAAAAAATGGGGTGAAGTCGGTCAGGGGTGGGTCGCTGCCAGCGTTACTGGCAGTTCGTGGCGCATGTGCTTTGCATGCGCAGTTTCCTGTAAATAGGTCTGCGCATGTGCAGAACATTTAAAAATGCCAAAAAAAAAACCATGCTGCAGTGACGGGAACCAGTTTGCGGGCATGGCCAGCCTGCCATCCCTACCGGTTCGGTGACCCCGTCACAATTTTCACTACTGCTTCACCTGAACTGGAGCAAATCAGTAGCAACCCTCCCTTGAAATTGGTGCTAGTTTCAAAAATAAAGCTTCATATATCAGATGCTTTCTGTCCCAGATGAGATTGGCAAATTTGAGAAACGAGCAACGTCCTTGTGGTTCTAAGCAACATACAGTTTCTAATTCTGAAACCATATCCAGCTTTGCCTAAGTAAAAGATTCCTACTGTTCTTAGGGGGGAAAAAACTAAGAGCAAATAAGCAATGCGTTCTTTGAGATCCTTTGCAAATTTTGATACCCTTATAATTGCGCTTTTCAACTCAAAATGTCAGCTCTTCGTGTGGCTGTCCCCACAGAGAAGCAGCAAGATAGAAATATTTTCTGGTGTCTTCCTTTGTTATTCGATGTGTGACAGATGAAAGAGGCGGGGGGGGACTTTAAAAAAAAATCAACAGGCCGGTGTGATGTTCTGCGCATGTGCTACTCTACCAGGTTTCAAAAGCTTTCGATATGTGCATGTGATGTCATCTTACAATGTCGTGGACTGACAGGTTTCATCCTGGTGTTGGATGCCTGAAGCCTGTGGCTACAGCGGTTGAGTTGCTATGATCTTGTGCAATGTTGGTGGGAATCTCTGAAGGACCAAAAGTCTAGCTCAGTGATGGCGAACCTATGGCACGCCTGGCACAGGTGGCATGCGGAGTCATTTCTGAGGGCACGCGAGGCGTTGCCCTGTCAGCTCCAGCGCGCATGCGTGCACTGGACAGCTGATTTCAGCCTTCATTTTCAGCTGTTTCTCGCCCTCTGACGCTTCCGGAGGGAGAAAAATGGCCCAACGAGTGAATCGGAAGTCCATTCCCGAACTTCCAGTTTGCATGTTGGGCTGTTTTTCGTCCTCCTGAAGCCTCCGGAAGGTGAAAAACGGCACAACGCGCAAACTGGAAGTCGGATATCGGGCCGTTTCTGGCCTCGAAGGGCCTCTGGGGCAGTGGTGGGTTTCAAAAATTGTTCGAACCTATGCTGTGGGTGTGGCCTCCTTTGTGGGAGTGGCTTGCCGCCCATGTGACCGGATGGGAGTGGCTTGCTGCCCATGTGACCGGATATGAAGATGCCGACGACACTTGTCAGAACCACCTTAAATTACTTCACACACAGCACTGGCATGCATAAGAATAGGATGTCAACTTGTATTTTAAAAGGCATCTTTGGTT